TCCTGATTACTCCAACCTTGGTATTAGTATTAATATGGTCTTAATTTTACCATATAATCAATGTTTCATATAACTGTTTTGATGTACTTATAGTTTTTAATTCAAATGCAAGACCACATGATTGCGTAATCATGTTAATTAAATTATGTTTTGGATAACTTATCTCTATTCTTTAATGTAGGTTTAATGTCGTTATTACACATATTCTTTAAATAACCCTATATTTTTAGCTTTATCAAAATTCTCATTTCAAAAATTGGTATGGAAATCTTAAGATGTGAAAAATGTGTTAGTTTTTTAACAGTTAAATAAATATTTCCATTGAGACATTTAAAAGACAAGTTAAGCGAAGAAATATTTCCTTTTAATTAGTTCTTCATCAAGGCTCTACACTAATATATATATGCTTTATAAGTGAGAAGAAAGTCTATACCAACTAGATGGTGATGAGTCAGTTATTATTATTTTCAGTAAAGGGTTGTGGGGATTGTTGAGCTCAGGTTGATATGATGAATGGATCAATGCTAGACCACCATTGAAAACCTGGAAGCATTGGACAGCTGTTCTGTCCTAGCTTGGGACTCCTCGGCAGTGCACATCCACGATCCCACATGCGGGACTCGAGCCCAGGACCTATCGGTCTCGTGCGCGAACACTTAAGCTCGAGACCGCTGAGCCAGCATCCTACTGTGTTAATGTCAAAATTCAACCAATCCACAATATTGTGCGACTGTCCTCCATTGTCTTAAGTGACCACCATCTAATTGGTATTGACTATCTTCTCACTTATAAAGCATATATATTAGTGTAGAGCCTTGATAAATAAATAATTAAAAGGAAATATTTCTTCGCTCAACTTGTTTTCTTGAGCAGATAAAGTAAAATGAGTTCATCTTACCTCCTATTGTTTGAATTATATTTGATCTGAGGTTATGTATCATATTTTCAATGCTTGCAGTAATCTGTTGTATACTCCACCTTCATGAGATTTACTAGTCATCTAATGTGTGAATGCTGATATGGATTAAATTTTAGCTAAGAGTATTCCGGTGTCTACCATGTAATGTCGAGACATTTGTTGGATTTATTAAAAATAATCACTAGAGTGAGTATACGCACTTAAACTTTAGTTTTTACGATATCGATTGTGTCAACACTCGTATCTTAGCAACTAACTTCACATGTCATTAAACGACATTATTGAAGAGATAATTTTGTGAATAATGGCAATTAAAATCTGTCTTTCGCGTGAACGTTTAGTGTTTTTAAATTCTTCTAACGGGTTAAAGTTGAGTTTCATCATTTTTAGTTACAAACCTTCCTATAAATATGCTGTCAAAAACAGCTTCATTCGTTAGTCTGATCCTCAAAGTTATGGAGAAATTAATGGTTGAGATAGACTCTTGGATGAAGAGAATTGTGTTATTATTGTTTATAACAGTCGTTGCCATATTAGAAATTAGTGTCATGCCTACTAATTCCACGTTTTGTTTCTTCAACATAAAACTTTAAGTAAAAAGGCTAGTAGGTCAGCTGACTTGTGTTAGCCCTTGTTGCATTTTTGCAAGGACTCTGTAAAATTTATTCGAACTAACTATTGAATCTCTTTTCGTATGATCGAATAGTTTTAATTTGCAAAAAACTGTTTCTTTACTACATTAATGACTCGGGACACCGTTGTATAATGATACACATCTTATCTCAAGAAAATCGTTTACCAAAGTCTTGAAAACAGAAACATTTCAATCAGAAGCCCATTTTTATCTTGTGCCATAGGTACCACATATTATAGTGTGACTTCTCAGTAGAGAGTTGAGTTTCATTTAAATTACAAACTCATTTAAGTTAAACAATCACTGGAAACTTGGAAGCACTGGGGCTGCTCAGAAGTGTGCATTCACCACTGTGCGGCTCGAAATCAAACTCAGGACGTCCAGTCTGAGGCGTAAATACTTCGACTCCAGATCACTAAACCGGAACCCAACGGTTTACATGCTTAACTTTAATCAGCCCCACACCGGGACGAAGTGGCCGTCTACTGCTTACAATCGTTGTCCAACTAATGTCGGTTGATAATTTCAGTGTAATTTCTGTCAGAAATTTCATTTCAGGCTTAAAATTCCTATACATTTGTTTTTCGACTTGCACAAATATATTCATAGCAGGTAGTTGTAGATAACTGAAGATACTTGAAATGAATTCTTTGGTGAGAGTTACAATCTATTATGTATGACAACTTCCACTAAATGTAAGGTAAATACCCGGAACTGTTGAATATACATATAACGTTGGAAATGTGTCGGATAACCCTTTCACTATCCAATTTAAATCTCTAATATGAGCTTTTTACTCATATAACTCAAAATGTCTACTGAAAATGTATTACACTACCTGTTTTTAAATCTTTAGGCTTTCATTTTATGTGAACATTGACAATCAATTCAAATTTCAACCGGTTAAGTTAAAATCTAGTGTTGATTCTGATGAACACGAGGTAACTGTTCGTAAGTAACAACGACAAGCAATTATAAAACACGACGTCATAAATACCATGTCACTCTACGTAACTAAATGCGATATCCAATGTACAAAGGGTCGAAAACCTCTTACAGCCTATGCACAACGATGCGTAGTGATTACCACGATTCAAATATAGGCCCCTTTCCAAACGTGCAACCATATGAAATTACAAATATTGCGTGGTGAAAATATAGCTTGGTTATTACGCAGTAAGAGTGAACGACAATCGAAATTCATTTTATTCTGCAACATAACTATAATTATATTCGGAAAGTTAATGTGTATGTATAATCATGGGATGTAATTCTTGTTTAAACTCTTTAATGAGCCATCTCATTCATAATAGATGATAAGAAGGAATAAACGACTACATACATTTACAATCCCCATCACCCAAAACACACATAATGATGTGATAACAGATATGAATGTGCGTTTGTTCAACTCAATTGATGTGCATTGTGTATGAAAGCTGAAAATAACCACAAGACGTTTTCAAGTAAGCCAATATTATCAAAACTGATCAGCGAAAGGTCCATCCATTTTTTGGCAAAATAAACGTGTTAAGAATCTATTCAAAACATCGATAGTTACAGTACTATGATGTTGTCAGGTCATTTGTTGATATTTTTTTTTCTGACATGGCAAGCAAATTATATTTCTTTGAAGTTTATGCAATAATGCATACATTTTTACCCTGCAATTACGAAATAATCCCTCTCTTTCACCTATAATATGATCACAGTAGACACCAATTTGAATGACTCGATAATTTGGCGCGTTGTTTCACTGCTTAAGCAATTAGAAGAGAACGCCAACTTAGTCAATAGAATATAATCAGCACTCAGAATTAGACAGTATGATATTGGTTGCTGTTAAGTGATCATCTGTTGAGTAGATATCACAGACATATAGGTCATTTCCTACTTGAATAGCTGTGATGACATCTTTGACTATTAAGGAGAGCAATAATTTGCTCAAAATTGCTGGTAACTAGCGTGGAATGTACGTCAAGACCTAATTTTCCTTTATATAAACTTGTACAAGTGCATGCAAAAAAGGAATTCAGGAGGAGGTGATAACCTGAGAGTAAAAACAGGTTGTATATCCTTCTAAGGCCAGACAGGTCGGGTTATCACAAGGACACATGGTAAGCGAGAAGTACATGTATGGAAAGATTTACTGTGAATGAGAAGTTGATTTATCTGGTCAAGGGCACTGTTCACATATCTTAGTCTGAATTACTTCAGTATTATTTATATATATTCATGACTTACATACGTATTTACTCAGTTTTGGTAACAGGGCTTTCTATCCACCTTTAGTCTTCTCTCTAAATGAATTAGGTTTTAGGAAGCGTGTAGTGTAATTACTGAATTAAACTAGTGAAGCACAATAGCTTAGTTACGATTGCTTTCAATCAACCTAACGTTTTCTTAATAATCTATGAACCTACCTGGGACTTTCCTTCATAGGAAGACACATTTTTTCGCAGATACAGAATACATTCTGCCATATATAATCACGATTCTGAAATAGTTCCTTTAATTGTATTTTATTAAATTATTCTAGTCCTATTCCGGCACATTTAAAACACCCATTGGAAACTCATTTATATGACTTTTTACATACGTGATGTTCCCTAATCTGAATAGTTATCAAATTTGCACTGCCTATCAAGACATTACAAAACTTTAAAAACGCGAGTTATGTGAATTTCTACACACGTCCAAATAGCTTAGACAAGTAATATGTAATATGATCAATAAAGACATATTAAAATATATATGTAGAGCCTTAACTTATTTGCTGTGGTTTGGTAAAAATTACAAGTATTTGATTTGGATTTATCTACCTGAATGCCATTTACTATTTACCTTCACACAGATATTGAATATGGTATTGTTCTATAGGTTCACTTCACTTTATTTCAATAGTTCCTTTTTAAATTAAGTGCAATTGTTTAGTTTACAAGTAACATTAATATCACTATTTCTAATATTTTGTTTATCACCCTGTAAATTTCCTCTCCTTTTATTACATGAATTCTCATGCGATTATTTATCTCCTACAATGATTGACGAAAGCTATGCCTTGTTTTTTTCTCTCGTTTATGTAAAAACAAATAAAAATTCCCTGAAAAGCTAACCATGAATATGTACGTTACAATTCGACTGAGTTCATTACTAGGTCAAGCCCAACACCACCACACCAGAGTTGGATTTACAGTTGGGAAGACAAATATTAATAAAAATATCCTTTAGCCTGTGTTTAATTTTCAACATTTCATATGAATCACAGCAAAGAACGAGTTATAAATTTGGTCAACAGTTTTTTTGTCGCACGTTATTTTAACTGCTTGCATAAATGGCTCTCTAAGCAAATTTCTCTCTTAACAGTTTGACTGACCGATTTCAACTGTAAAAACCAACTCAGCTCAACAATAGACAAGCCTATCGGCAATTGAGGATAAGACATAGGCATATAGTAATAATAACATTAATAATATTCTTTATACACACCTATTTATCAAACATAGGGATAATTTTTAAAAAAAACGTATAAAATATGAAAAAATGCTTTGCTTAGTATAAAAAAACAGCTCCTGAATACAACAGTGTTGAAATGCTTAAATGTTTATTATTTGTTCTTGTTCCATCTGGAAGTAATCAATAAGTGGTGAAAACTGGCAAGATTATTTTGTAAAACAAACTTTGAATATACAATGAACAATTGCATGAAACTAATCATGTTCAACAATTAGAACAATGAAAAATAATGAAGGGCAATCTCATATAACGAACATGACAGGATAGGAAAAGAGATATAAAGCTGCTTCTAGAATATAGGTGAACAGCAAATAAATTTGTTTAATTAACAAGTTTGTTTCACTACTGATTATTTAATTCATATCTTTAACATGAATAAATAAGGGAACTAGGGAAATGAAAAGAACATAAATACATGTAAAGTATATATAGAGAGGGATTCGTTGAAAAAAAGCGGGAGATAACGCTCGAAAAAGAAAACCATAATACTTTAAACAATACAACGAAATCCGTAACTTATATTGCAGTAAAATAACTTCAATTTCATTTTAACTGTTGCCGTATTTCTTTAGAAAAAAATTAGTTTACAAATATTGAAATAAAGGATATACATCTTATAAAAATTCTATACAAATATAAGCTTATTTTCAGTTATACTTAATGTTGACTTATCATCATGTGAATTATTCAAATTCTTTAACTGCATATTACGTTTAGCGAGTTCAAGACGTTCACGAGCCTGTTGTCTAGCAATCATATTGTTTTGTTTAGCTACAGTGGATTTAGTAACTTTACGATTTAACTGAAAGAAAAACAATAAAATACAGAATAATATCAAGTCAGTCGCAACGAGAGAATTTGTAAACTATATGAATAATTATAAATGTTTAGGATATATTACATAATGGCAAGTAGTATTGAAAATAAAAAAAATAAAGCATTTCTGATTAACAGAATATATATATGTATATATGGAGAGAAATTAGGATAAGAAGTTTTCCAGACTGTTGCAGGTCAATGTTATCTAGATATTTGCATTTCATAAGCAAATAACAAAGTGACTGGGAACCCTCTAAAGGCCTCTTATATTTGATGTCTTATAGGACTTACTTATTTGAATTAAACTGACACATTTTACAATACTATTTTATTATTATCTTGACAAGGTTATGTAAACAATGTTGTAACAGTTATCATTGCTTTTCTAAAAGGTATAAAAGCCTCAATTGTTAAGACTATTCTTTTCTGATTTGGGAGTGTGGTTGTTTATTGTTGAAATGTTTTATTGATTTGATCTGTTTATTTATCGCTGCAATTTTAATAACGTTTCATCTTCCATCCGTTTCCAGCATAAAATACAATAAGGCTAAACTAAGAACTAGTTGACCATAATTTACTATGAAGTAGAATTTAATCGTTCTATGAACGGAGTTTCGTCAGTTAAAATGAAAGAATATAATGCTAATTTATAGATGACATGCTGCTTGATCATCTGGGCTACCTGTTCCTGCCATCTAGACATTTCAACAAGTTATAGATTTTTGTTTGTTTTAATATATCATTATGTTTATTAATCGCATAACCTATCCTGCTGCGTTTCTGAAAAGTGTACAACCTTTCGTTGTCAAAGTTACGAAAAACTCAATAATAGACAATGTGGTTGTTGGCAATATACAACGGAAAGAATGCACATTATTCAGATGTTCATTTAGTGAACTTCTAACATCTAACTGGCGATCACTCAATATTTATCGCCAGGACCGACCAAGAAGAAAGAAACGGAAACTTGTTGAAATACTTTACGCTGAGAATTCTATATTGTATCAAAAATATAATATTGAATAAAGCCGATAATAATAATAATAAAACATGACCGAATGATGGCTGCTCACGAGAATGAAGTTTATCTTCCAACAGAATAGGATTTTCATTTACAAAATATTTAGCACAAGAATAAACATGATTAGAGGTAGTTGAACAAACAACTATAGGTCATCCACTCTCCAACAGAATTAACGCCTAGATTTAAGGTGTCATTCTTACCTCGTCATATCAAATTATATATACATATTTCTGATATTATACAACTCAAGTATCGAATTAGTTTTTATATAAATCTAAAATAATGAACAAGTCTGCTATTTTCCGTGCTTATCAATGGCTAAGCCTAATTAATTTGTAAGATTCTGAACTCAATAGAAAATGGTGTAAGCGATTGCTTAGTCATAAATTCCATTTTTAACATTAAGAATTAATCCGGACACATTACCAAAATAGTCTAAGCACATAGAAGAGTTTAACCAACTTTTCACAGTTCACAGTCAGTCATACATAGAAATAAACCAGTTGTAACAAAAATCTTTAAATAAAATCTTGCAAATAATACCTTTCGTTTGTCTGATGAAATGGAGTCACCTACTGAGATATTTTGCGTAGCAGATAGTGAGTTATCAACCGGTTGCCAATTGTTAGCCCGTAAAGAATCCACTTGTTTGAATAAACCACGAATGTCATCTACTTGAAGTGATACCATCGCCCAGAAACCATCCAAATCACTAACCAAAGTGACTAATGTATTGGGCTCATTTACGAAATTGTTGTCAACCCCAACTGTTTTCGAATTCTCCCAGGCAAGGTTTTGATGGCATAAGGCACGAAATTGACAAAACTTCTCAGAAATCAGTAGTCTCGCTTTGCCAGAAGCAGTTCGTAAAAGACCAGAAACTAAATTTTTCCACAAAAAGAATAAGAATTGACAGTTGAGCAACAACTAACTACTTTTTCCATCTAATGTTGGCTCGATTTGAAATAACGAATTATGAATAATTGGTCAGCACGAAATATAGGCAAATCAACAAAATTTTAGACAAATTAAAGTATTATGCTGTGAAAACTGACAATTCATTCCAGGACAGGGAAAAAAATCTGTCCACAAAATTCATTTAAGAGACTAACGGACTTTATCAAATAATTCAATTAATTTTCAATTTTACGCCTAATTATTGATGAATTTGATTGCATACAGTGCTTAGAAATTTACGTTTTTTCGTTCATAAAACATAAATCACATTAAAATCTTATTTGAATCAAAGAAAATATTCTGCAAACAAACAAAGTCTTCTAATTTAGACAAAATTACATAAACATTTTCACAGATCGAAACATAAAATCTCATATGTATCGGTAAGTGGTAGTTCTAGAAACGTTAAATAAATAGTAATTTCTTCTTAAGTACGACCCGTACTTACTGTGTTAATTATTCATTATCTCAAGTTTTTCACAAATATATCTAACTAAAGTTTATACTTTTCTTTACAATAAGATTTGTTTGCCTTTACAGATAACTACATGAGTAATATGATAACTAGGAAACTACATAAGTGCAGGTACATCCAGCTGACGAGTCCCAAACAGGACGAAACGCGAGTCCTGGATTCCACTGCTAGCCACTATCCATCTTTGCTTATAATGTTTGTAAATTAAGGCAATATCGAGGCATACGCACAGTATGCACATATGCCAATAAGAGACTGATTAATTTCAGTCCTAAAACATCAATGGGAAGATTCAAGTAAAACAATATCAAATGAATAAGTGTTAATAGTTTTAATCCTGAGCTAATTTTATCGTAACAGGTATGATAACTTTACTTAGTTGTTTGAAATCAATCAACATTGTGACACGTTTTAGTGTATGAAAAGCAATAATGTAGTAATACACTTCTGTATCTCGAATTATATCATGAAATCCTTTCTTTTTATAACATACTTTGAATGGATCAATGCATACTCAATAAATACTGACAAGTTATTCCGAAACGAACTTCGATAATAACAAATTCATCTTTAGAAAAATAAGTTATAGAACGAACTACTATCGTTACATTCTATAATAGGATTTAGCTTTATTACGAATACTGGTTAGCCAACATCTCAGAAGTACATATTCAAATTAACTATAGTTCAGTTGATCCGATACAAAGAGGAAACACTATTTAATAAATTTCAAACTATTCACTACTTTTTATGCTTTTCAGAACAAGAAACAATATACATTTCACAAACAGGAAGTAAATAAAAATTTTATGATTTTAAAGTGTAAATTTTAAAAAAATCAAATTTGTCCGATTACAAATCTTAGTGGTAAATTTTGCTATCGAATATTTTGTTTAAAACAGTTAACATGAAATACTATGATGAGCTAAAGTACTGAAAATAAACGAATTGAATCTTTAAAATCCTGATGCTAACAAACATTTTATATAGTTGATTTTTCATGTAATAAATAAACAGAGATAGAATATATGTAAATTAGAATTTTGTTATATCAACTTAGTTAAATAATAATCTATACAAGTAAAGAAAAAAACAAAACATGTATACATTCTACCATAGATCAATTGCAAATGAACATTAGCATAATAAAAGGATTTTTTTAGTGAGTCAGTTAAAAAGTTTAAACCTTTTAAGATAAAAAAAACATGTATTTGTAACTGTTTCCAGAATCACGTAACTATTTCAGAATACTTATGTGTTGTATAAAAAATTATTTATTGCCATATTAGTAAGAAAAGATTTAAAAACATATTCATGAGTGTTAATGTTAAGTGGTTAAATTATTAGACATTTTTTTTACTGAATTACAACGTTTAGCTCTATTTTTATGTTCGAATAGTCAGGAAGCACCGAAATTTCGGTGAAGTTACGCTCACTGAGCTAACTATTCTAATCATGAAGTTTTCATTGTCTTAGTAGACAAAAACAACAGTACAAACTTTGCATAGAATTGAGCTATACACTTGAAGTTTTAGATTTGCCATGTTATATTCAGTGTTTAACACATACAATATCGATTTTATGTCATCAAGAATATGGCTAATCAAACTGTCAACACTTTCCAAACTATCCATTTGATGACGAATAGTCTTTAACTTCGAAAAACATTACAGTGGACAAAACGACCACCCTTTTCATCTTTGTCTTAGTTACTAAACGTCACAAATTATCTCTGCTCATAACGACGGATGAAGAGACGTTAGACTTGAAAAATGCTGAAGTTTTGGATAGAGGTAGCACAAACAAAAAGAGAATTTTTAGATGATTCACGCTTATATAAGTGACCAGTAAGTAGTGAAGTAGACAAATTATCAACCAACTTAAAACAAGATAAACAAGTACAGAGCCAATAATTAGGTAAGGAGAGAAGACAATCAAAACAAATGTTCACAAAATAACAGTATAAGCCTTAATAACCACCAATCGAATTCGACATGGAAAAAACAAATTTTGATGGCTCACTTTTATCAGAAGTTTGTGCTGATGATGTCATCTAGAAGGATAATGAAAGTTTTTGATTAAAACACATAGCTCAGAGAGCCTGGTTTCCACAAGACTATTCTTTTGACCTGAAAATCACCATTATGTTAGCAACTAAATGTTTAGCACATGTCCTAAATCCTATTACCTTGACTATTTTTTAACAAGATACATTGAATTATAACTCAAATTATTCAAGACTTTTGAATTTATTGATGAAATATCCAACTGACTACTTAAAGAATGGAAGGATAGACAATAAAATACGTTCCTTTCATTAAATAGAATCCGTTCATTTTGAATAAAAGAACAAATCACAGCTAAATTTATGCATAAGCAAAATATAACTTGTACATACAGACACTATCGAAAATAATAATAATATTATCTGATAACAGTATATTATGTGATACCATTACCTTCATCATTCAAATCAACTTCATTATTAAGATCAGTTTCAATTTCACAAACTTTATTTAATAATTCTTTCTCTGTTTGATCTACTTGTTGAAGATAAAAATTCCCATCTACTTTAATTTCTGATTGATTTGACGACGTTGTATAATCAGTATTGAGTGACTGCTTGTCTTTGATAGAATTAATTATTACAGATGAATTTCCTTCAAATGATAGTTCAGTGCTGCTACTGAGTGTATCAACTTGTAGAAAATAAAAATGTGATTAGTCCATTTAGTTAGTTATTAAGCAAAAAATTTTTTAAAAAAATATTTGAGTGACTAATAGTTTTTTTAGACAAATAATCGACTATCAACTAGTAAAAAAGATAAACATTACAATATAGGATACATAGCGTAGCCACAATTGATTGATCACTGGGTGGTGACCAATCTCATGCTTGTCTAGTCCTTATTAGTGCAGATCGAATGCTATCGATCATGTTGCAATGTGGCCACCAGTCTAGGTGACCAGGGTTTCCTGTTGACTACCTCCAACCACCATCTAATCTCAATACATAGCGTAGCACATACTCGACAATTAGCAAGTGATTATACATTTGAGCGTAAACAACAGTAGATGAGAACTAAATCTAACTTCAATCTCAAAACTTGGATAATTCGAAATTACATCATAGCACATTTACAACCCCATTAATGATTTCTTTTGTATATACAACGTGGCATAATTGTAATTGGACAAAAAATATAAATTGAAATGTTGCAAATGAACCAGTAGTATTGGGAACAAGTGTGCACATCACAAATTAATATAAATTATCCTCTTTTTCTTGTTGCATAACAATAACAATATGTGATTGTTAGTAATAGTCAACTTATGATTGAAAATTTTACTAATTTACTTATACAGTGCAAAATATCAATTCTACAACTATGTATTTCACTTCATTCATTTATGAATTAATACCTGTAAATAGTAGTCACTTTGTCCACTTCGTCTATTTTTCAATTACTTTGTAAATCATTCGTAACTATTTTAGTAAGAACTTTTGAATTTGTAATGTTACTTTATCCAATACACCAAAACTTGATTAGCATGAGGAAACACTAATCGAAAAGACAAGTTGCTACACTCTTTTAGTCACTTTTTTGAATGAAGAAATTTATCTCAGTAGCCAATAAAATAAAATATAAAACAGTGAAAGGAATATAGCTATCAAATACCCTTAAGGATTTCTTGAGAAAATTTAATATAAATCACTGGCCGATCTTATATAGATAGGATCATAAAAGCTTAGGACATGATGGAGATATGTTATAAACACCTTTCGCAAGTTCACATATTCGATGTGAATTGATAGTACTCGTGGAAGCGCACTACTGACGAGTCCCACAATAGGGCGAAACGACTGTCCAGTGCTTCCAGGTTTTCAATGGTGGTCTAACATCAATCGGTTCATGATTTCAATCAATAACAAATTTTGAACAACTAAGAAATATTATCACTCGTTACTTATTGACCAGTTGTATGTTTTTCACAAAACCTGAAACCCGTGTTTAATTTCATAGGATATACACAAAAGTTACTCTAAAGAACGCAACTGTTATCTACTGCCATTTACAGTAATCATTTTTAAAGAAAATAACTGTATTATTAAAATGTCATCAAAAAATAGGACAAATATTCACCTAATTCCGTTTTATGTTGTATTGAAGTATTGAGCTCTCCCTTACTCTTATTTACCTCGCTATAAACAGTGATGGAATCTGAAAAGCTTGGAAAGAAATGTTTGTTTAGTGCAGTTGTGGGAGTTATAACACGACCACGAGGACTAGCATGAGCGACTGCCAGCATAATGAGTGAAGATCGATTCCAATGTTCTTGATCATCAGTGTTATTGGTGTTACTAGTTGTCTAAAATCATACAAACAAATTTAAATAACCAGTGGAAAATGTCACTTAAGGAATGAGTATACAAATTAGGGGGCAAGTAAAGTTTACGTATTATAGAAGATGAAATACTGTAGTGGTTTAAAAATGGTAGAACTTGCTCCTGACTAATTTTAATGTGTTCGAATTAACTAGGACAAAGTCAAGCTGCGAACCAAGGTGGTGATAGAAAGTATATCATAGTTGGTGTCATCATTGTGCAAACGTATGTATATTCGCCGACAAGTGGAAATCCTCTTGGTAGAACGATACACAGGCCACAGAAGAAGCACATCACACATGTACCAGTTTACAGTAATACTGTAGCCCCCAAATGCCCTGGTACGGCCGAGAGTGGGGAGAGACAGCTCTCCCTCTCTAAATGCTCTCACATGGCCACGTGCATACAACCACTGTCAGGGAAGTCCTACTCACTGCTTTCTCGTGACGGCGGTGTTGTCTACGAAATTGAGAGGACAAAAGTCGAATTTCCGGCGCTTTAACCGGGTTGATGGATACGGAGGGTACATCTAGAGGAGTTGGAAAACCCTGATTTCAAACCAATGGTGTACGTGGGCCACAGGATTCTGAATGAACAAATGGCGTATGAAGCAATCGTTGGTTACCGACTACCATGGGACTGCATCTCCCTACGTTGCTCTACTGCCCTGTGGATCAGACCGTTAAGTCGAAGGCTCCAGATGTGGTCCCCTAAGAAGACCATATGCTTCGGTTTGGGCACCCGGGCAGTATCACAGCCCTCACATAAATCGAATGATTTATGTGGCGCATATGTATCTGGTGCCCCCTTGTACCCATATCTATGTGTTAAAATAAACAAATAAGCTTGCAACCAAGCATATCATTATAAAACTGAACCGTTGTTGTAGTACTGTCTGAAATCAGAAGTTTAACTAATGAGAGAATGTATAATCCATATCACAAACACATTCCATTGAAAGTGTTATTGGTTAGCGTTTACCGACAAAAGCAAATAAACCTTCTTTCGTACAAATCTCTTATTTCACCGAAGCTGTTCAATTAAAACTTCACCACTTAAAATGGCTCCAATACTGAATTTCTTTGTTAGTATATTCTATAACACAGCTAAACAATGAACACGACATGGAGTTTCGCGAATTCGGACATATTAACATACACGCGCACACACAGAGAGGAAGATAACTGGCAGTTTCAACAAATAAAATGCATGTGAACTTGACTATTTAACAGTTCTTTATCTCTTCCTAAGTAAACCTGGGATAGGACTTTAAAACAGAAATTTTCATTATGCGACATAATAATTACACAGTATGCATTGACCGCAAATGCTTACCCTCTTCCTTCTCAACTTGACATTTTCTGTGCTACCATTCCAAACGCCATCACGACCAGACTAAATAAGATTTAAAATAAATACAAAGTTAGAAAATATTATTTTCATAAAATGTTGGCGTTGCATATAAAGACAACATACTAGGAAAACCACAAACTGTTCAAAATCCTAGTACAGTGAAATAAACGCTGAACTTTTATACTTAGAGAGCACTGAGTAGTTGTACGATCTTAGCGTGAAACTCGTCGGAAGCCCTAGTCTTTGATCGAATACGAAAGAAAACTTGGAATTTTGAGGTTTCGTTTCTACTTTCATGATTTAGGTTGATCATCTTCGTCGTTCTTCTCAAAGTTAGCTATCGATAGAGATGGTGCAGATTGATTACTTCAAAGGACATGATGGGAGAGCGAATTATGATACTATAAATCGTCTTTAGCAACATCGAAATATCAAATTTACAATACAGTGTTAAGTGTAAACCCCGAGAAGCGAGTAGGTCTGATTTATGTCTAAGGAACCTGACCTCTTCGAGGTGAAGATTTTTGACGGCTTTAAGTTTGCCTCACATACACTCCAAAAGACTCTTCACATTTAGTGACAACACCCTGTAAGTAATCGTGAAGTACATTGAAAGACTACGGTTCAACCAACAATATCATCTTTAGATACCGACTTTAGAGGCTACGATACAATTTACCCACGACGTTCTAGCAACTATCATGTACAGCTTCGTTTAGCGATACTGCAAATAAGTAAAAACGATCAGAGCGAGACAGTTCTATGCATTTCTCCTCAAATGAATCATAGTTGTGTTGATTCAGCATTTGTTAGTCTACAACAACTCCATGAATGGTGTTTTATAAATCAGAAAACATAAGGACAGTTGGAAATCAAAGTCAGTAGTGATAGATTCGAAACTCACTTATGTGTTCAATATAAACTACAAAGTGTACTTCTGAGAGGAATGGAAGTTATGTTTGTTGTATTGTCGTTTGAACTGTGTTCATTAACACTATTAAGTTCTGGTTATCATAGTTGCTTTTTCACTTCCTACATTTTGTTTCGAGCGAAGCACTTTTTTATCGATCTTTTTATAGTTCACATCGCAGACTGATTTCAGTCAGACTACCACTGAAAACTACCAAGCACTGAAGTCATTTTCTCCTAATATGGGACTCCTCAGATGTTTGCAATCATGGTCCTACCGAGAATCAAACCAAGGAGCTCCAGCCTTGGGTACAAACCTCTAGACCACTATGCTGGGATCCGATGGTGTAAGAGTTTAACTTCAGTCAAAATTCACGGTATCGCACGAACATCTTCCAATGTCTCACGCCCAACCACACCTGTCACAGTTTCTCACTAGAACTCCTCGAATTACATCTGTAAGTTACATTATAGCAAACACAACAATCAACTCTAAATCATGTATGATGACAACCAAAGTTCACAAAGGCACCTAGACGCGAATTTGATGCAGCTATATTTTATTACATAGCACTTAATCATAAACTGACCTCTCTTAACTATTTCGGACTCAGTCATGTGTCAACAAACAACTACAGCAACTGAATGTTATGTTGAGTAACAATGCAGACATTTATCATCAAACTATTTATCATAAGTGTGAACTAAGTTGATGTCACTTTAGTTACCGAAGGAAATGGTGTTGTAAAACAAATTTATTAACTCAATGTAAAACTAGTAAAAATACCTCAGTTCGACGACAAGATGATTGGGAATCCTCAAAAATAGATCCAGCATCTCCACACATATTTCCCACAACTCGCGACTTTTTCTCACCGAAAGTATTTGTCACTGTACTTGGAATTGCAGAAGTAACTACTTCATTTTTAATATCTGATGTCCCACTATGAGAACGGGCAATGGATAGCTTATGTCCAACAGCATGCTGAATTACTAAAGGAGAAGTTTCCGTATGGACTAGATTATGAATTGATTTTGATGCTGAGTAATATTTACTGTAACCGAACGCTGCCACTGATGCGCTGAGATAACTGGGTGTATCTGAAATAAAAAATAACTCTATTTTAAATTTAGAGAAAAATATAGACCAACTGGGAAAATTCTGATTGTATTGCTCACCGTACTTTACACAGAAAATGTATGTCACCCAACGTTCTAACTGATAAGTATAAATTGGTATAGAAACCACTCACAGAACTTACAGCTACATACGGCCAAAGGAGATGTGCGATACTGGGACGCTACAGATTGTGGGAGTTTTGCACAAGACTGTGAAATTAACGCTTCTGATCGACGAAGATTATTTGGCTCAATGTTATTTATGTCATGGTGAAATGGTACTCCGAAATGATGAATTTCGTTTCCAACAGAACGTATACTATTTTCACGTGTTACAGCAGAAAGTAGTGGGGAACTGGTCACCGGCGAATGAATGCCAGTGGTACAAAATAGAGAAGATGGTGAACAGTTTGGGGAACTTTTGACTTCAGTATCCATTCTGATATTATTAACTAGTGAATAAAACAAGAGTACGAAGATTTAAATGTATGAATGCTTATCGAAACAAACATTAAATAAAGAATATCAAAACTATTATGAAAACATTAATTGACCATAGCAATTGTACACTTTTATTTATTTATTTAAACACAAACAATGGTACAAGAAGGCACTAAATATATATGGCCACATAAATCATTCGATTTATGTGAGGGCTGTGATACTGCCCGGGTGCCCAAACCGAAGCATATGGTCTTCTTAGGGGACCACATCTGGAGCCTTCGACTTAACGGTCTGATCCACAGGGCAGTAGAGCAACGTAGGGAGATGCAGTCCCATGGTAGTCGGTAACCAACGATTGCTTCATACGCCATTTGTTCATTCAGAATCCTGTGGCCCACGTACACCATTGGTTTGAAATCAGGGTTTTCCAACTCCTCTAGATGTACCCTCCGTATCCATCAACCCGGTTAAAGCGCCGGAAATTCGACTTTTGTCCTCTCAATTTCGTAGACAACACCGCCGTCACGAGAAAGCAGTGAGTAGGACTTCCCTGACAGTGGTTGTATGCACGTGGCCATGTGAGAGCATTTAGAGAGGGAGAGCTGTCTGTTTGAATGGATGTGTGGTTTCAGGAAGACTGGTTCAGTATTCGTAGTTGGTGGTAGCATTCAACTTTCGACCAGTCAGTGACTCCATATCGTTTCGATAGAACAGGGTTGCCACCATAGGCTAGCTGCTGTGTATGTTGAAAAATACGCAGGATGAGAATAAAAGGGAGTAGATAAGTAACGTAGTGCAAAAGAAATAGAAACGAATGTTATCAAATGATTCGGCTGAATGAGCGTTGAAGCAAAAGTAATTTTGCCAGTAGTAGTTGTCATTTGATTTGTGTAGGAGCTGGGATACTGCCCGGGTGCCCAGACCGAAACAGGTGACTTCCTTAGGGGACCAGATCCCGAGCCTTCGACCTAAAGGTCTAATCCACAAGGCATTGGAGCAACGTTACGAGATGCAGTCTCATGGTGGATGGTGACCAACAATAGGTTCATACGTCATAAAAAGTATAAATGGAGGTGAACAGATTATAATTCACTTTTTGCCAAAGAAAAATGAAAAGAACTACATGGAAGTTTCAACTCACGTTCAGATTGCATGGAAACATGGATGTTGTAATCAACGCCAGTATCTTGAGCCTAGAAAATATACACAATAAGAACCAAACATTTTTTCATGACCAAGATGTAATGCTGTCTTACGGATAACTATTTGATTATTGCAGAATGTAAATGTTTTACTACTAATTGTTTTTATTTGTGCTGGATTAATATAAACTGTCGGCCTGATGGAATATCTGGGCTACCTGTTGCTACTACTAGATATTTCAACAAGTTATCTCTTTTATTTACTTTAACGCATTATTATGATTTTTATTTATTCGGGAACTTATTTATTTATTTGAACACATGAATATTGGTACAAGAGAGCGCCAATATATATGCTATGGTTCCTTAGATCGTAAATCAGCTACGGTTCCTTAGACCGTAAATCAGCTATGGTTCCTTAGGTCGTCAATCAGCTATGGTTCCTTATTCGAGAACTGCAGCTAGATAGACTGGAGCACCAGCACCAACTCGCTCAGCGTAATTGTCCTTGCGAAGAAGACGATGTACACGACCAACAGGGAATTGAAGACCAGCACGGGCTGACCTTGTTTCAGCCTTACTACGAACTTCACCTTTACCGCGTCCACTCATTATTTTAAGAAGTAGAGAAACGTGTACGTGATTACAAAACGCATAACCTATTCAAGTGCATATGAGAAGTTTACGATTTATGTGAGGGCTGTGATACTGCCCGGGTGCCCAAACCGAAGCATGTGGTTTTCTTAGAGGACCACATCTGAAGCCTTCGACTTAACGGTCTGATCCACAGGGCAGTAGAGCAACGTAGGGAGATGCAGTCCCATGGTAGTCGGTAACCAACGATTGCTTCATACGCCATTTGTTCATTCAGAATCCTGTGGCCCACGTACACCAATGGTTTGAAATCAGGGTTTTCCAACTCCTCTTGGTGGACTCTGCGTATCCACCGACCCGGTTAAAAAGCCGGAAATTCGCTTTTTGTCTTCTCAATTTCGTAAACAACACCCCCGCTACGATAAGGCAGTGAGTAGGACTTCCCTGGCAATGGTTGTATACGCGTGTCCTTGTGAAAGTATTTCGAGGGAGCAGACTCCCTTTAACCTCGGACGTGTCAGAGCGTCTGGGGCCTGGCCCGATGCATATTTTACGAAGTCGTACATTATCTATAACCAATCGGCTAAATAATTTGCGCAGGGAATTCAATAACACACCTTGGAGTCAATATTGAATAGTTGGCCGTTACGAAACTTAGTATCTTTAATTTGAATACACACACATAAATAGAGTTAACAAGAAACTTACTACGACTTTATAACTAGAATTTTGACCGCGAACATTTTGTGAATGTGGTGAGGGGGATTTCATTGGATGTGGTGCGAATATGAGCTTACGGGGGACTGGAGCAGATCCAATGTCCTGGGTGACCAACTGCAACTCCTCTGATAAGTCGTCAACTGTGGAGTGTGTATACTGGGTCTCTAAAACAGGATCAACACTGGTTAATGAAGGTTGTGAATTTGTGCTACAACCTGTAGAAAAGTAAAGTTAATTGAATCAAAAGATAGGATTTACAAATAATATATGCATTAAACGAGATATTTAGCAAATGTTCCTAATTAGTCATTGAATTATATAAAGTGAATTCGTGAAGCTTTTGATAAATAATATCCAATTAAGTTTCACAACAAATAAAACTCATTTGAATCCAATTGAGTGATCAATGTAATTATCCAGTTAACCCACACAAGTACATAGATGACGGGAAAATGAACGCAGAAGTAAAGAGTAGAACATTAACAAGACCAAGCGGCTGTGATAATAGGAACAAAATTTGCAATAACAGAAATCGGCAAGGAATACGATTGCTACCTCTAGAACCCTAAATATAACTAATCCGTAGGAATATATCAGAAAACATTTGTTTAGATTTTTTGTGAAAAATGATTGAATAACCTATGACGATTGGTCCTACGCTTGAGTTAACTGTCCAATAAGATTATTTCGGATACAAAACATCACAAATCTGGGACTAAAACAGAAAATTCCATTCCTTCTTGTCTAAAACATCGTGGAAACCACTACAGGACACGTCAATGAAAAGCGAACTAACAAAAACAAACATAGTGAGCACTTGGATGAAAATAGAACGGACTATAGAAAGTTAGTTGTAAGGTAACCCTTTAGTCTCACGTTGCCCTTAATATTTTCTGGAAAATATGTAACGACTTGATGAGCATTTTAATATCAGATTAGTCTCATCCCCTCATGAAGTGATAGATAAGAACCACGTTGTAACAACCCCCCTTAAAGATTACACCAAAAGACATAACCTATTCAATTTCCTTTAAATTATCACGAAATTTATTGTGCATAGTCCGGCGACCCATGACTTGTACATCCCTAGCAATGTAATTCCTATTTCTATTGATAACCGAAGAAATGATGCGACATTAAGATATTGCTGTTTAGTTCCTGTAAAACGCGCTAATGGATGATCCAACATAGACAAGGCTGCACCGTTAAATAAACATATCAGATAACACAACAACATTACTCTTATTAGAAACCTCTGGAAAGGTGTCTCGTACTAGGTCAGAAACATGTTAGCATTACTATTAATCGCGCTTTTTCGAACAATCCATACATTAACGATGGACATCACCAATATTAGTAACCTTAATTATCTAAATCTCAAGAACTAATAATTGATAATGCTATCAGTGGTCTAATCCACTACAAAAGTAGCTGAAAGGTACTTTTTGACACCAGGATAGTGAATTGTATTTTTTTATTGACAGCTAGGATTCCAAGTGAACCGACAGCAAACATGGTTCAGAAACTGATTAGCATGAACATCTTAATTAAATGGTCTTTTTAACAGTGATACCTCACTTGACTAATAAACATCCAGTAATATGCAAACTAGGAATGGGAAAAATAAGTACTGACAATTGTAAGCGTTTTGCAAGAGAACCCGTGAAAAATGAGTACATGTCATTGCACTATGAAATATCTTGTTTTTTTTCTCTATTATAAAAGGGAACAATTAAACATGAAGTGTGAAGTCCTACGTTAGTATCTGCCAAGACAACAAACCTCAGCAATGTTGTTACAGATTTTTATAACTGTTACACTCAAAACAAGATTGTTCGAAATGATAGATTTACGAGGAGTATGATAGTATGCAAAAAAGTTCAAAGTCTTCATCCACCAAGGATGTAAAAAACTATACTTACGTGTTCCATGAAGTTGATCAGACAGTTTTGCAGATTTCCACATACGCTTTGTGAACCACCTACGTAACTTTCGTGGACTAGGATTGCTTGATCCAGAGTCGCTGCGTGACATACCTGTCTCACCCTTAGTTAACAGAACAGAATTATTAGTGCGAGATATTTTGTTTCGCGGGGTTGAAAGTCTGCGTATCAAATTAGTAAACAGTGACTTTCGATTCGCTGTATTCGATGAAACACACGGTACTGAAGGTCTTTTTGTGTTTGTGTCCTTAGGCAGAATATTAGGTACTAACTCTTGGTGTGGCACAGACCCATTTGTAACGATAGAACTGCTCATTGATGACTTGGCCGTAGTTTCCATCGGTAGAAATGTAGTGATGACGTCCACACTATTTTTGTGATCTATTTGGTGGATTTTAAGTTTATTGGACGAGAAGTTATTTAATTTACCCAACGTTTGTACGCCTTCTGACATCCCCGGAGAGCTCAGTCTGACGACTATAGTCCTAGTCCGTGGCTTTTCCTCAACAATATCAAGACGCGGCCTATGAATAGACTGACTGTCTTTCAATCTCAATTTATCTGCCACTGGTGTAAAGAAAGACACAACCTATGTTAAGCCATTATAAAAAACTACATTTTCGTACCTCAGACTGCAGTAGGTTACGTCGGTTGGAAGTAATATAGCGGTCATCTGGCCATTAAACTGAAGGGTGATGATTCTTAGCTTACCTTTAACGCTGACCTCAGTGTCCCCCTGCATAACACTCACAGAAACAAAAAGCACACGCTTTTACAGAACTGAAAGCGGCGCTACGGGTCCAATATCCAATATCTCCATGATTGTTGGTTCTTAAACTGCCGACTTTTCATGAGTGCCTTGATATCCAAGAACGATCCTGGGTCTTCCCTACCTAGCAATATGATGATTCATATGATACAGAAGATTATAAAGTTAAGCGACATCAGTCAAAACCTTCTTAGAGTAGGAAAAATTAAAAATAATATACAGAACGATCCGCAGGCACCAACAATGTGAAATTTTTCATCACCAGATTGATTTCAGGTCTTATGCAAACCACCATGAACAGCTGCTAGTATCAATCCTCTTCAAGTAAATTTCTGAGTGTCTAGTGTTCTCTTGAACTGATTACCTCTAAGTTCAAACACCACAAAATCTCTATTATATGGATATTTACTTCATTCTTGGCACTTGAACTAGCCTACTATGTTCCTGAGCTTTCTTATCGTAGCCAAATGATAAATGAAAGCTTTATTTGGTCCAAAGTAAATTACAATTTTAGATATTCACAGAACACACATTATAATCTACACTAAGACAGAATTAGGAGATCTGACTAACAGAGGCATAGTAAGCACAGTGGCCCTCGTAAATCCTGATTTGCATCGACAGTTGTCATTTTTTCTTTTTTCAAGCTATCCGATTTGTCTATTAAGCATAAAATTTCAACCTAAACATAACTTTCAAGTCCGTATCTCCCCCAATCTAGACTAGCCGGCCAGAAGGTCTAGCTCAGCCTGGAGTGCACATGCATCCTCTATTACTTCTCAATAAATGTTGGTATCATTGGCATAAATTAGCATTGTAGACCAAACAATACTGCGGAGTTAATCTTTGCAAAATATCTAACGTAAAGTACTCAAAACGAAAATCTTTGTAATACTTACTATCACATTAATATGACTTAATATATTTGTCAACATATTCCTCAATTGCTCGGGCAAATCACATAAAATATTTCAGATTTTTTTTCATTTGATTCTTGTACTCGCTTGTTGTAACAAACTTGTTATGCCTTATCGGTTTATTTTTTATTTAACCTACGGTCAACGTTGTGCTCGATCGTATTGTCATGTTATGATATACATTAGTTCAACACTGTTCTTTATCTTCAGATCATTCTGGATTCACTTCTCAGCCGCCCAGTTTTGATATGGCTAAGTAAAATGTGAGTGTAAAGTGGCTTGTTTGGAATACGATGAGTACGCTTATTTCCATGGTTTACTGCGTTTAGAGTTTTGGCATAAAAATCCAAAAAATTTTACTGGACACTATCTTCATAGATCAGTCGTAACATACTGCAATCATTTGTATCTCTCCTCATAATTTCGTTGAGTTACAATGTGTAAAGAATAGGAGGGAAACGTAAATAATGACTGTTACTTGAAAACTTTCATCGCTTACAGTAGATGTAGAACTTGAGAAACTACTGCGTACAAAGCCATCATAACGTGTGTAATTTCTTCTAGTAGCACTTGTGGAACTGTTGTGTGATAATGTGTAAATTTACGTCCTCTTTAAAGGTTTATCAATTTACCTAACAGGCACATCAATCGGTGTCCCTATTATACTTAAAATCCATTTTATAAAGCCCTTCTGAAACTTATGAGAAAACCACTAACCTTCAACTTATGAATTTGTGAGGCATCGGGCCGTAACCACACAATCGTCAAAGCTGAACACGAGACAACTGGGAAAATAGGTATCCAACACTGAACACAGAGAAAAACCCAACTATGGAGAAGGCGGCAACAAGGAATTGAAGGAATTCGAATTGATCGGACTCGGCCTTGCAAGCGTGGTCAATCTCAAGTGTTGTAACATAATTTTTTATTCATATTAAATATATTGATCTATCGAAAGCCTAGTTTTGTTCTCCATCATATATTTGGTGAGTGTTACAACGGGATGAGTTGGTGTAGACAATGAAGTGACTGGCACGTAAGATCTTATAGATTATGCAGTAACCTCATGACAAATGTGCAACTTGAGGACTAAGCCTATTATTAGAGTAGTACTAATATCATAGTAGACCATAATTACACAAATTCATTACATCAGTTACCAAGCCCCACTATCCTCTAATAACCTAATTTAATCCATCCAACTAACAGCTTAATCTTGCCACATTGTCGACATGTCAAATCAAAATCAAAAATATAACCAATCAAAGACGAACTATTACTTCATGTAGTTTCAAAGTCTATTCCATATATGTGATAAAAAAGTTTTGGGGCGAGATACATACATGTTTTCAAATTCGTATGCTAAGGGCAAATACAAGATGAGTTTGCATCATTAGCACAAAGTGGCATTGTGAACTTAACAATACTGCGGAGTTCATTTTCGCAAAGTGTCTAACGTTAAGTAATTAAAACGAAAATCGTTTTAATATATACTATCCCGTATATGTAATAAGAAGGTTTGGGGGCGAGATTCATACATGTTTTCAAATTCGTATATTAAGAACAAATACAAGATGGGTGGATTCTATGTTATATGATTCTCGTAGTTCATTAAAGGTAGATGTTAGTGGTTTTGAGCAACATCTCTGCGTTCGCCCAACTGTCTTTCCAATAAAACCAATCAGAGTGTTGTATTTAGGCTGATCAGACTGTCAATAACTATAAATAAAAGTCCGTCAATCAATGCATGTACAATTTCTGAGTATCATTTTTAAATATAAGAAAAAATACCGTCAGGAATCAAGTAATTTGAAAACTTTGATGGCCTTATACTCTTAGATACTGTCTACCTTGCACTGTCTGGAAGTTCGAGGTCTCCTAAGACAATGCCTTTAGGGTTTATCTATCATAGTCACTTAAATGTGACTTCCAAGGCAGTGTAAACCACCCTCTAAACTGAGATAACTACTCCACCCTACAAACTACCGTATAGCTGCTCAAAAGTACTCCGAAGCTCATGCCCAAGGAATGTTGCGGAGAATAATAGTTCTTGATGTGTAAGTCCACAATGTAGATTGCTTTCAAAAACTGTAGTAGGCTATAGAAGCTTAAAGACAAAAATGGAATAAAAACAATATCCCGATCAGAAGTAGCCAGATTTTATGCTCCGATCAACCCTAAAACAGCAGTGGCATGGTAGCTAGTAATGAAAGACCTACATGTGACATCTGGGAAAACGTGTTTACTCTACGCAGTGGTGAGGATTCGAAAATCTAAATCGCACGATTCACTACCATAATTTCTAAAAAAAGCCAAGAACAAATCTTCCTATCTCACGAATAAATGGTACCAGCGATGCAAAACCAGCATAAACAAGCACGTTTGGATCAACTGAAACACTGAAAACTGTAACACGACCATTTACTGAGTTGTGATTTTTAAGTAAACTACGGAACTACTTTTAGTCTAATTAAGTCTAAGACTTTCATGAACTTCAATTTGAAGTACATAGTATAACCTTACATTGTTTTGTCATTGTTGCATCCTTCACTTGATTACGACCAATATGGGATATGACTTTGAGATTCGAACGCGTAGAACCTATAATCGCGGATCAAAAAGACAGAAGAAAGCAGGAGAAACACTTGTTGCGTAAGTGTACAAGAAGTACACAAGAACAGGTGTGTTCGAATTTTCTAGTATGGGCTTTAACATCATCATAGCTGAACTAATTCCCAATTAGGAAGTTTGCTCAATTGTCTAATGATAGCATCTTCTATTAATACTGCAGAATCTTCCTACCGGAATATGATTAGATGTGATCTCTCCGACTCATTTAGAGTCTCTGGAGGCTTCTTCTGGCTCCTGAGATCCATTCCAACACCTTCTCATAACAAGTGTTCCTTCTGTAGTCTACTTGTAAATTAATAACTGGCACTGACGCTTCACTTTTCGTTATCTCCGTTAACCAGACCCTCTTTTTTCTCCTTAAAATTTCCCTGTATATTTGCATCATTGAAGCATCTGTAATTATCTCTAATGGTAGTTTCATTTGGCAATCCCTAGTGTTCATTGTCCTTTTATCTTCATAAAATTAGTTGGTATGTCCAATGCGTGCTTCGAATGCTCACCTCATGTTAAACAAGAATCTACCCGTTGTTTGAACAGTTGTCCCAGGTTCCATTGGCATCGGCCCTGGTATGATTTAGCGAATACTCTTTCCCTCACATCAAATCTGCGAATACAACTACTTTTTCCTCGGTCATCCACCCTATCGGATGCTAACAAAGTGTCGAATATCAGTTCGATGCTTCTGCTGAACATGACTTCAGCTGATGACTTCCCATCTGACGAAACAGGATTGTAGTTGGTTCTGTTAGGCGGCAAGAACTCAGTGGTCACTTGACTCAGCATCCTCTCGTCTTTCCCTTCAAGTAGTGCTATTTTGAAGGTGTCCACAAAACGTCCTGCATTTCCGTTAGACTGAATATGATGGGGTGGATAACACGAGCGCTCCACCCACACCACAGAATATTTTAGACAAGTGAGAAGCGAATTTAGGGCTACTACCTATCACCAAGGCTTTCATTACCACGTAACAGCCAAAAAATCTAGACGGCTTGCTGTTCGTTTCTTCGGCTGAACAGTTCGGCATAGTACATATTTCCGGCCATTTTGTCATTGCAACTACGGTAACTAGAAACATTTTTCCTTGAATTGGACAGGCGGAATCTGCATTGAGTCCCGTCCAGGGTCCAGCAAGACATAGATTATTTTTGTGGTTCACATTCCGTAGGGTTTTAAAAGCTTGCAGACCAGGCGAACATCTATGGAGCTTATCTTCGATATCTCTTTCCATTGATGGCAATTGATGGCATAACTTTGGGTCAAGCATTTCATCCTGTTGATCCTAAGGTGACCACTGTGAATTTGCCCGTGAGCATTTTGGTGCAGTAATCCTAAGACAGCAATTCAGTCACTGAACATAACATATGAGCCAATAACTATCAATGAGTCATGTCGACAAACGTTTTGCAAATGTTCTCTTTAAAAATGATGGTTTTGTCATCTGGTAAGAAGATAACCCTCAACTACTCTCAATGTCTCACTACTTTCAGTAATTTATTGAATAGCTTCGTAGGTAACCAGAAGTCCATCAACTGCATCATCCAGTACGCCGCAAAATTTTTCAGCTTTTATGTCTGCCATGAATGTCTCCCGAAGTTTTCGTTCGAAGCCTTTTGATCTCTATAATTCATCTGCTTGTCCAAAAACTGTAGTGGACTGGTACTTGATTTAAGATTGCAACCTAGAAGTTTGGTTGCACATTGTTACGGTCTGTAACCCGAGTGAACAAGGGCCCAAATCTTGGCCTGAATACAGCTTGTAACGGCACATGGTCTTTTACTGGAGTAAACTGCCGTCCGAATAACATTTTGTAGAAGTTTCTT